GTTTGTTTTACATCCGCTGCGCAAACCCTAGAATCGATCTCTTAGGAATAGGATTCACTCTAGAGATCCCAGGAAACCCTTCAGTGGTATCAGAGCCTTTGCTCTGTTTTGATTTCGTAGAACCCGATCACGCACGTCTTAGGAGCCTCTCTTCTCTTCCGATATCTCGGCCTGAGCTATCACGGATTAAGCATTTTCCCCGTCGTTAGATGTATCAATCCAAAGCAGGAAAACAATTTCGGAAAAAGGACAGAAAGGCATACGTACTTGGGGAGTACTGTCCCTTCTCGGAGGTAGAGCCAGTCATTCGTGTACTCGTCGAATTCAGCAACTACTGCAATCACATAAGCTATTCCCCTTCTGAATGATCGTTCCTGCACGAAGATATCGAAGGTGAACATGAGTTCTGGTGCGAATCATTCTTTGAATAGGATCATGTTTTCAGCGTAATGTATAGACCTGATACACGACGACTGATCCATATAACCCCACAAAGAAGCTGGAGAAAATGGAAACGAGAACGAATCCGACAACGATGATAGGCCATAACAGTATGGTCAAACCAGCAACCGGGATGCAGGCTGTTTCGAAGAAGGGGCCTTCCCGGTTGACCAAATCCTGAACGAGCCGAAACCAGCCTTTGACCAGCAAGTAAGGGCTTTTCACAACAGCTATTGCGGTGAAAAGCGGGATATCGATAATCAGTCCCGTTATCCCCACAATGATGCATCCCGGAACATGGATCAATCTGCAAGGCAAGAACAAGATCAAGATGAAAGAAAAAAAAAGCAGAAAATTCCTCTGCATTAATCAAAGACAAGAGCAACAACACAAATACATTGGGTTTGATTTTTAGGTTTTAAGCGCAAGAAGATGAACTCAACTAAACCAGAAATGTTCTGAAAGAGGGTTCTCTGGCTTTTGCATCTCTCATTGGTTTGCCTGAGGAACATGGTGCTATATCACAAAGAACATCAAACATGATAATGTCTTTTGACATAGTTTTTTCAGTACCTAAGTGTCTGAATCTCATCTGAAGCAGGGGATTCTCTCAACTCCTTCAAGTAGAGTGGATAAGAATGGTAGCAGATATCAGCAAAGTCGTTCACCACTGTACAGCTTCCTTTGATGGTTCCCCATGTTCCATCCTAACAGAAACATTAACACGAAAACCTAAACAGGATCAAGATTCACAAACTTGAGAAGGGAAAAAAGTTTAAGAAGGGGACAGACTAAGGAAAGATCGTTAAATTACCACGAGACAGTGGAAGAATTTGTTGGATTCGTTGTCTTGTCGGAATGCTTCAAAGGCCGAAACCCAAGGAGTGAAGAATCCGTACCCAACTCCGACAAGAACACTTCCTGCTATGCTCAAACCCAACCAGATCCCAAACAATGCAGGAAGTGTCACCAATATCGCCACTTTCAGAGGAATGTCAAATCTACTAGTCCTGCCATGAAAAATTTCCAGAATCATGAGAACCCAGAAGAACAAAACCCACCAAAACCCCCATGAAGGGGCGCGATCCTTTGTAGAAATCAAGATTAGAGATGGGTCAAATGTGGAAAAAACTTGGTCAAAATTGGAAAATTTTACTTTGCAACAGCAGAGATTGTCCAAGCTACATGGGCAGGGAACAACCCTAGAATGACTCCCACGTTTCCTGCTATTAGAATCAAACCAGCAATCGGACCCACAAGCAAACCTGTAATCACCCAAAAACAAAATTAAACTTCCTTTAAGAAGATTGGATTTTTTAGAAAACCCATCATTAGAAAGCATTAAAAGTCGGATAAAGTCCATCAAAAAGCTATAAAGGAAGGACCTTTGTATGATCGAACCACCATGGAAGAAGAAAGAAAGCCAAAAAAAAGGAAAAAAGAGGAAGGAAAGATCGAACCTTTAAGAGCACCCAGAAAGAAAGCAGAACAAAAGGCAAATATGACATAAGCGATCCTCAACCATCTTTCTATGCTACTGACTACAGCCATCTTCTCCAGGAAGAAGAACAAACTCAGATTCTCGCTTAATAATCGCCAATTTGAGAGAGCGAGAGAGAGAGACTTGTAATACAAGTCTTGCCAGAGAAATTAACAAAGGACCAAAGGGAGAGAATGATATAATAGACGCAAGACCCAACCCCCAAGAATTCAGATGCCAAAACGACCGCAACCCAAAAGAGAAATGTTCAGACAAAACTAAAATAAGTTTGTTTAATTATATATATATAATAAAAAAAATGGGATGGTGGAAATTTCAATATCGGTCGGACAAATGCATCTGTCTTTGGAACTTCGGAATCCTCGGCGTGTGAAGACTCCTGGTTAAGTTGACATCATGCCGATTTTCTCTTCGTTATTATCATCTCCTTTGGCACGTTATTATCATTATTATATTATGATGGTTATTAATAATTGTATATTAAAATATGCCTTTAAATTCAAGCCGTGAATTATTTATGGAATCGGTTGTGTAAAATCTTTTGTAGATAATGCCATTTATTGTCTATCCATACGCATGATTAAGAAAAACTTATCCAATTTAAAAAAACAAAAAGAAAAGTAAATAATTGTAGAATTAGTACAACAGAAATGTTTGAATAAAAAAATAACACTTACTATATATTAAATGAAAATTTTAAATTTTCTTATAATTACAAACTTAAATTAGTGTATGATTACTGGTTGATCCTTCTGACTTTTGTTTTACCCCATATCATATCTTACATAATTTAATCATTATAACTCTCAATGCCTCCTACGCGATTTTGGTATTTATCATATGGTATGAAAGTACGTATCGTATTTATAAACGTGTTAATATAATATTATCTAGATGTATTAATATAATGTCTTGTTTTTATCTTTAACCCACAAGAAATATTTTGAAGAAAAACAATTAATTCTGTGTTTTACAAATGAAAAAAAAAAACATGTAGGCGGCTGAAGTTTGGGAGTTGGACAACTTCTGGTCAACGTCAAACTAAAGAATGTAATAATGGTTTCCATTATATATCTTCATATATGTGTACACACATATATGTAGTATGCGTATGTACAATGGATATATGAGTTGCTTCATATTGACCTTCTAGAACATCAGGCTGTAACGAAACATAACAAATATGGAAAAGTCAATGGTCAAATGAGACCGGTTCTTTTTTTTTTTTTTTGTATCGATCTTCTAAAATTTAGATTTTAAAAATGTTTAGTTTGGTGTTTTTCATGTTAGAATTACTAACGATCTAGACTAAACAAATAAAAATAAAACGTCTATTGAATACTCTGTTTTAAATTTAAAAAACCCACGAATAATACAATTATTATCAATGATTTATTTTAAATTTTCCTGTCATGTTTATCTGAATTCTAAATTTTTAATGATTTAAGTTATAAATAGTGATATATTGAATTGTACGAACGTATGATAGGATAAGGCGCGCTAGGCAAAGTATAGAAAGAAAAATTGGAGTGAAAAAAAATAAGTTAAATAAGTCAAATTTTATTTAAAATTTAACCAATAGAATTTTATAAAAGAAATCAATCAAATTAAATTGAATATAAAATTAATGGTAAATATTCAATGAAAATAGTTTTTAAAAGCATTTTTGTGATAATTACTATATTTTATCAAGTATAAAAATTAAAAAGATAAATGTATTATACATACGAGAAATTTCAAAAAAAGTAACAAAAACTAAATATTATAATAAAAATGGGAAATATTTAGGACGCTTGCCGATTGCATTATTGTTGGAGACAGCCCGTTTGGTTTGGCGATAAAATATCTGATAATGAATTGTAGCCCTAATTGAATTGTGATAATAAATACAATTAAAGAAATGATTTGGGCATCACTTGGAGAATTTTTTTTTTCCTAAAACAAAAAAAAATGATTCACGAAATCTTGATATATCATATATATTGCAATAAATAATAATACAACCCACCGAACCAGCATTAAAAGCAAATAATCTTAGATGAAATTCGGTTTATTAGAAGTTGGCTTTGATTAGTTATTCGTTTACAATATGTAATAACGATGTTAATAAATAGTTTGTTTTAAATCTAGATTATGACCAAAGAGACCGTAACCGAATGTGAAATTGTGTCTTTGTCCCAAATTCGATGTTCGAGTCGCGAGTTAGGGGGGGAATTCTGCTTATATTATAATAAAAAAAATATAGCACATATGCATGATACCCAAAATCAAATGATTAACGGACTGTGCGCATTATTCAAGCAAATAATAGAATAGAATCATACTATACGACACACTTGTTACATTATACAACCGCCAATACATATATATGTATATATGTATGAATTTAGTTGTGATAACGGAAAGATGTCTTTCTCATCATCTTCATGAACTCATCGAAGTTGACTTCTCCATCTTCTGCACAAATAAGAGTAGATAACGTACGTTAATAAAGTTATAATTAAAGTAAATGTTATATATGTTAATATTATATATATATATATTCACCATCACGATCTGCTTCTTGTATCATTTCTTCTATCTCCCTGTCCGTGAAATTTTCTCCCAACTCCTTCGCCATATACTTTATATCGTGGTAAGATATCTTCCCCTTAATTAAAAACATTAATTAAGCAATCAATTAAAAAACCACAAAATTAATTTCCAGAAAAAATGGGATTAATCATAAGCCCTAATACATACATTGTTGTCGTGGTCGATGATCTGAAAAGCTCTGGAGAGCTCTTCCATGGAATCTCTCTCGCTGAGCTTAGTTGTCATCATTTGTACGAATTCGTCGAAATCAATTGCTCCACTTCGATCTTTATCCACTTCTGCCATTAATTCGTTTATTTGCTGCAAATATATATATATATATATATACACACATATATATATGTTCATTAACGTAAATCTAATTAAAATCCCAAGAAAAAGAACAAGCCTCACCTCATCATTGATCTCGAAACCGAGAGTCCTGTGAGATTAAAACGTGTTTAATTTCGATAATCATTTTTAAAAAACTGGTTATTATTGGTTATATATATGTTTTAGAAGAATTATACCGCATAGCAACGCTGAGCTCGGCGGCATCAATGGTGCCTGCAAACACAGTGATCATAAACCGGACTGAATCAGACCGGTATCTGAAAACCGGACACGATTTTGTTACCTGAACCGTCGATGTCAAAGAGATCAAAGACCTCTCTGATCTCTCTTCTCTTCTGTTTCGTCAATCCGTGATTCCTCCCTCTGGGTGCTGCCGAACCTTTCCTTAGCGTCGATCCTCCCGACATGAAACTCGCCTGTCCGAATTCCCATATTTAATTATGTTTTTAAACGAATCATGATACCAACGATCAAGAGAAACAACAAACCATTTCTTGGGGGAGAAGAAAGAGACGATCCGACCGATCTGGATTTTCTCCGGAAAAATTCAGAGGAATAAAGATTCAGATTAGTTTTTTAGGGTTCGAGCTAATTTATGGATGGAACTTGTGGATTGGGAAAAAAAGGAACAATGATGAAGCTTGTGTTTTGTCGTGAAAGCGACTAGTTCAGAGACTTTCTGTTTTGCACGTCGTTTGGATGACGAAAGGTCTATATAAATATATTTTTAATTTAATTATATTAAATTAACTCGTTGTAAAATACAATAATTATAAGCTGCGTGTAACTATAGTTTCATAAATCGTCACGCAATGTTACATTTTAACCACAGAAGAAATCCAACATCTGGACTTAGCCTCGTTATCATCTTAATTAATTAAACACGTATTATCTTCCCCTTTTTTCATAAGATTGCAATGATAAATGAAATCAAAATCAAATGTGTTCTTCGTTGTCGGTGACGTGTCACGCGTTGAATAGTCGTTTTTATATCCCCGTCGAGAAGTTTTCATTCCGGCCCCGATTTTTCCTCTCTCCTTTCAATCAGACCCCGAACAATTTCAAATTTTCAGCTGCCCCCTCTCCGTCCTTCTGTCCACCTTCAGGTTCTCCGTCACGAACGCCACGAGCTCGCCTCGCTGCCTCTTCGCCGCCACGAGCTCCGAGCTCAATGTCTCGTTCTCTCGTCTCAATTTCTCGTTCTCGTCCGACAAATCGGCGACCATGTTCACCGCCGGTGATGACATGGAGCTGGACCTTAAGTCCTCTCCGGCAGAGTTCGACGGTGCCGGAGCTACCGCCTTCCGCCGCCGTATCTCCGACACCAGCTCCTTATGCCCTTGTCGGAAATTCTGGTTCGCAAACTCCCATTTGTCGGGAACAACTTTGCGAAACCCCTGTCCAGAGTTTAACCAAATATAATTCCGAACTCCCAAATTTCTGGCATTTATCAAGGAGAGCAATCTTTCTGGTTCAAATTGGTTATCTTCTTTTGGTTTAGATATCACGGTTTATTGATTCGGTTTGGTTATTGACTTACTTTTGGTTCTTTTTGAATTTTTCATTCTTCCCGCCTTGCTACAGCTCGATGTATAAGACTCTGTTCCTTCTTTCATTTTGAATATATAGAAAATTTGGCTCAAACATTCTTCTCTCTGAAAACCCAGTTTCAATTTCTGAAATGGTATCAGAGCTATTAAGCTTCCCTGTTCTTTCTTCTTCCTTCGATTCTTTTTCGTTTTCTTTCCGATGGAATCAGCTCCGATTCCTCCGGTGTCGGCTGTTTCTGGTCTTCCTGTTGCATCTGGCACCACTTCTTCTTTACCATAGATTGCTCTCCTTGATAGAATGAAGCTGGAGAAATTATTGTGCTTGAAGTACTGAGGAAGAAGATCCTTGGAGAACTCCGCCGTCTTCCAAACGACGAACGCCGTGCCGTTTTGGTTCCATGAAACGACGTCGTCGGTGGTCTCATCGTCCACGAGCTGATAAGTCTTAAGTCAGAAACGGCGCCGGAATCGATCTCTGCGCCGCCGCCATCTCCGGCGAAAACAAAAACCCTAACAACAAGTGTCTTTTTTTTTATAAAAGGCTGTATTGGAACCCTAAAAAACAAGTTCTTTCACAGAAAAAAAAACAGAGAAAAAGCGAAGGAAAAAAAACCCACAGAACCAGGGGCGGATCCACGTATAGACCAATGGGGTCTCATGCCCCCCATAAAATTTTTAATTTGTTTATAATTTTTTAAAATTTTTGATAAATAATATAAGAGGCCCCATTAACATTTTACATGTGCCCCTCTTTCCACTCTTTTGTTTTTTTATTTATTTTTTATTTTTAAATTAAGTTACATATTGTCTCTTTTTTATTTTTTATTTTTTATTTTCCAACTGTTTTTTAATATTTCTCTCTCTTAATTCTAAAAAATATTATGTATAGATCTAATATTAAAAAACAATCAAATTAAAAATATTTAAGTTTTATTAAAGGAAAATAATAAGTTAGTATATCAAATCTATTTCTAATTGATTGTAATCTTGTATAATTGATTCTCTCTTAATTGTATCTCCTTAGATATAACAACCTCTTCATGTATATATTTTGTATTACACAATTGAATAAATGTGAGATCATATTATTCCTTTCATTTATGATTTTTAAGTAATTCTATTTTTTATTTATTCATCAATTTCTATATTTTAATGATACTCACAAATTTATTGTTATATATATCTATATATATATATTTTTTATTTGACTTGATAAAAAAATAATAGATAAATTGATTAAGCTAAAAAAATATTAGATAACGTGATAATGACTTTTAAAAAATGATAATAGAAAATAAATTAAAACGTACGACTGGTTTGATTAATACATTAATTGATTTTATTTGTTAACACTATGATGGAAGATGTTTTCCGTTAACAAAATTTGTGAACATAGCTCTAAGCAATCGTATTAGTGATCAATTTTTGAATGATTGCAGTTTATTTTATTTAAAAATATATATTTTAAACAATTATAAATAAAAGTTATTATGGATATATTTAAAAAAAATGAAGAATTATAAAATTTAATGATCAAATATAAATATTTTTTTATAATATTTTTTTATTAATTTTGTTATATATTTATTATAATTATTGCCCCACTCATAATTTTTTCTGGATCCGCCACCGGACAGAACTTTGGATTGAATTTGGAGAAAGCTGAAAACTTTGAGATCGTCAACAACTAAAGAGCAAAAGGGCAGTGAGGAATTCTCAATCCCAGCAGTAGAAACCGGAGAGGAAGATAATGGATCGAAGGAGACAGGAGATTGGTTTGGTTTCTTCCATCTAGGGTTCCTCTGAGAAGAAACAGAGCTCTCTGGTTCTCTGTGGAAGGATGTCGGAGAAGATGAAGAACACGATCATTATTAGCCGGAGAGATCGCTGTGACAAGATCAACCAGGTTCGCCGAAAAGATTTTATAGATCCTGAAAGTGGGCCCGACGAACAACAAGAAACGGAGGCTCTGGTTCTGGAAATCTTACCGAACACCAATTCAAAGCTTGTCTCTTTTTTTTTTGGTGTGTTGAATCCTGTCCGGAAAACAACTATACGAACACGGAACAAAGAATTTGGTGATTTACTCGGGATGTTTTTATTCTTGATCTTGTTTACCTCACCTAACATTTTCTTGATTTCACATTTGCCCACCAATAACCTTCTTTATACTAAGCTATACACACAGCTATATATATATATATATACACATTCATATAAGGAGAAACAACTTACAGCAAGTATTATAATAAAGTGAATATAATTTGTTTTAATACTAAAATCTACAATTAAGAAGGGAATATAATTTGTTTTTGCAGCTTTTTAAAATCTATTTTCCACCCACGATAATTTTCTTTTAGACATTGCAAGTTTTTTTAAAGGGATAATGAACAAAAAAAACACGAACTTTGTGTATTTGGCAAATATATACACAAACTTTGATTTTGATCATAAAATACACCAATTTTTATATTTTTAGCGCAAACATCTACAAATAGTAACGACGTAAAAAAAATAACGAAACCATCAATAGGTCAACTACAATTGTATATAAATGTCATATCATTTGTTTAATAAAGTCATATAATTAATTATGTTTAGTGAATTTATTATTAACCTTACTTAGTGATTTTGTTTTTTGATGTTCAAAACATAATATATATATATATTTAATGAATTTATTATTAACCTTGTTTAGTGATTTTATTTTTTGATGTTCAAAACATAATATATTTGCATTTCAAAGGTTCCACTTTCCATATATATTATGTTTTGAATATCAAAAAAACAAAATCACTATACAAAGTTAATAATAAATTCACTAAACATAATTAATGGCATGATTTTGTTAAACAAATGATATGATATTTATATACAAATATAGATGATGTGCTGATGGTTCCGTTATTTTTTTGACGTTGTTAATGTTCGTAGATGTTTACGCTAAAAATATAAAAATTAGTGTATTTTATTATCAAACCGAAAGTTTGTGTATTTATTTATCAAATACACAAAGTTTTATGTTTTTTTTGCCATTATCTTTTTTTTTTATGGAGAAACTCTTGGATGTGATCAATGAAAAAATCTTATATTGATCACCCCGTGTTAATTAAAGAGTTGATAGAGGCTTATACACCAAAGACCCCGGATTTAACCTTTTAATTGCGATCTAATCTTAATTACCTTTCTCTCTCGTAATTATTAACTAGCCGTTAGTTAATGTCTCTCGCGTAGTTCGTCACTCCTTTTTATTATTACTAATAAGAAAATGATTATCCAAATGTTTTGGTTTATTTCCACAATCAATATGTCATGAATTTTCAAAAAAAATCCATATAAAATCACTAACTTGAATTTTTTGAATCTTGTCATATTTCTACATATTAATTAACTTTATAAAGTTTATAATATCTATATAAAATCATGAATTTATTAATTTGTGGGAATATGGCAGGATTTACAAATTTATGATTTTATATAACGATTACAAAGTTGATGCGTACTATATAACTTTTTTTTAAAATTCTTGTTTTCTTAATTGATTGTTCTTTAGATATTGGCTAGAACGGCGCCGTTTTCCTCTGGATAATAAAAAACTGCCATCGTAGTTGACATTGGTGCCAGGTGTCAAATGACTTATGGCTAGTCATCTAGGAGATATCTGACGTGGCACTGTTCTAGCGGCTAGTTCGTATCTTTTCGCAGATTGCGTCTCGCTTTTTATCCGATTTTTAAAAAAAATATATAAGAAAATTCCTCTCACATGAGGAAGGAGAACAAACGAAGAATGTTTGATTGGTAAGGAAATCGGAAATCATGACTGCACTTTCCGGGAGCTCACTAACCGTTGGATTCGTCGGAGAATCCACAAAACGAAGATCTCCGTCGCCGTCGATCTTCCACTTCTCGTCTCGTCTCCGGTTTCTGATTCCAATCGCCGTGAAAACCAGATCTGACGGGGCTAATCTGCTGCGGAAGCCGGCGACGGGGAATTTCCGGCCGGAGAATCGTTCAGACGAGGCGATCGTAGATTGGGAGGATCAAATATTGGAGGAAACGGTTCCGCTTGTCAATTTCGCCAAAATGATCCTTCACTCCGGGAGGTAATCGGATCAAACATCTCCGAATTCTTTGAAATCGTGTCGAATTCGAACCAGGAACTCAATTAGGGATTTCGATTTTGTGATGAAAGATACAAAAACGGGGAGAGATTAAGCAGGGAGCACGAGAAGGCGGTGATAGAGAAGCTGCTTCCGTACCATCCAGAATACGAGAGAAAGATCGAAGGCGGCATCAACCACATAAAGGTAATCACAATCACACAACCGCGTTTGACAGCCATCGAAGCTCACCATCTTATGGATGATGATGATGATGACGGTGCGTGAAAACAGGTGATGAATCATCCAGAACACGGGGAGACGAGATGCATGTTCGTGGTGTGGAGGAACGGAGAGGAGATAGACTTCTCGTACTGGAAATGCGTGAAAGGGTTGATAAGGAGAAAGTACCCTTTGCATTCCCAAAACTTCATCTTCAAACATTTCAGATACCATTCATGATTTTCCTATATTACATTTAACACTTTAATCAAATGTTTTATCATATATTATGTATGCATTCCCTACAATGTAATATCAATATCCCTTTTTTATCATTAGTATGAAAATTGAGAAATACATTAAATAGATAAACACACTAAAAATGGAAGTGAGAGTGGAGATGCTTACTGATCACCAAACTTAACTGCGTCAATATCTACAGCCCACGTGTTTTTTTTTTGAAGGGCCGTTCTTTTCCTATTTCTTCTCCTCACCAATAAAAAGAATTTTTAATCAATTAGACATTAAAACATGCCACGTGGATTAATTCGCAACGAACTGTTTATTGGTTTCCATTTTTCGTTTTAGGGAAAAAAATCGAAAAATGGAAAAAACCTGAGGTATATACATAAGCAGGATCCTGCAGTGAGAGCAGAGCACGAGACGAAAAGACGGCAATGACACGGAATTGCTCAGCTCCGACGGACTGGATTCGCCGGAAAACAATCGGTCACGGGAGCTTCTCCACCGTCAGTTTAGCCACAACGGCTGCCGGAAACTCCTCCGCCACGTTTCCGCTCGTGATGGCCGTGAAATCGTCGGAGGCCGTTCGCTCCGCTGCTTTACGGAACGAGAAGCAAGTGCTGGACCACCTTGGCCACTGTCAGCATATCGTCCGGTGCTTTGGAGATGGCCGGACGGTGGAGAACGGCGAGGAGATCTACAATATGTTCCTGGAGTACGCTTCCGGCGGCAGCTTAGCCGACAACATCAGAAAATCCAGCGGTGCATTGCCGGAATTCATGGTTCGCCGATTCACGAGATCGATCGCCCAAGGACTCTGTCATATCCACGCAAACGGGTTCTCTCATTGCGAGATAAAGCTCGAGAATATTCTGATATTCGGCGATGGAGAAGCGACAATCTCCGATTTTGGGCTGGCGAAGAAGACGGAGAACGAGAAGAGACTGACGGCGGAAGAAACTAGGGTTGAGATCAGAGGAACTCCTCTGTATGGCACTCGGATGCTGTGTAGTTGAAACGGCGTGGAGTTTGGAAAAAGGAACGAACGTAATGTCTCTGTTGGTACGGATTGGTGTCGGATACGAAGTTCCAAGAATTCCATGGGAATTGTCGGAGGAAGGCAAAGATTTTCTGCGAAAGTGCTTTGTTGGCGATGAGATGGACGAGTGACATGCTTTTGGATCATCCATTCTTAGCCGTCGATGGAAAGTGTACGGCTCAATTGAACAGTGGCGAAGAAGAAGAAGAAGTTTCGGTTTCGCCAAGAAGTTCATTTGATTTCCCGGATTGGATTTCGGTTAAGTCTCCGATTATCCAACCGGTGGCGGTTCGGTCTCCGGTGAAGTATTCACCGTCGGGTTGGGGCCAATCTTTATCGCCGGCGGAGAGAATCAGGGGAATATACACAGAAGAAGCACCTGATTGGCCAGTTTCATGCAATTGGGTCAACATCAGGTGACGGAGTAGCATACGAATGTCATAGAAGAAATTAGATTTCTGAGATTTTTTTTAGTACCATCGAATCCGACGGTCCAAACTCAATTTTGATTATAAGCTTCGTCGAAGTTGTATATAGTCACGGAACAGAGATTTTGGGTACAACTGCTCTGTGCCATTGGGGAAAAGAAAAACAAGCTCCAAATCGAAGCAATGGTACGGCCTGAACCGGTTCCCGGTTCTCGTATACCGATCTCTGACTTTTCCTTGATGGGTGAAATTTGTTAATCCAGAAAACAAACCAAAACCAAATCAATATTGTCGATTACAAAAAATGTAGTCTTCTGATTTCACCCTATAGATTCCGGTTTAGTTTTGGTTACAGAGGGCTCTCAGTTAGAACCCTCTGGTTTCAGACATGATGATACAGAATCATTTTATTCAGACAAGCTTTTAGTTTACTTCCGGGTACAAAAATCACAATCAAAGTAACCAGATGAAACCCGACAAAAAGGAAAGAACAAACTGACAAATCGTCTATAGTAAAGATTTTCAGTAAAACAACTAGTATGGTGAATCCAGGTAAATTTGAACTGTGGTATATACATTTTTACCCACGTTCCATTGCCCTTTCTCAACCGATGATAATACCGACGTTTTTTCTTCACTGCAGCTCGCCGACGGGAGCCTCATTCAGCCATAGGAAGTGAATGAAGTCGTATAACTTCGCGCTTACGCTAACCTGTGACGTCGAGATTTCACAAAAAAAAAAATATGTTCCTCTATTTTTTTTTCATATATTTTTTTTTTATCAGAAAGACGATACGGTAAAAAAGGTAATCAGGGTTTTTACCTTGTACGGAGTAGGGTTTAATCTCCTCATATGATCAGGTCTCATGTTCTCAAGCTGTGTGATGCATCGTTCTCTTATCTTTTCTAAAGGGGGCAGCTCTTCTCTCGCTTTGTCTTTCATGTAAACGGTGAAAAATTCAGTCAGAGCAAGTAAATTTATCCATTTTACTACCCATTGATTGAGATATATGTGTATATATATATATCTTCAAAACCCATATCATTTTATATTTTTGGACCAGACCATTTATTACCATATTCACTTTGCTTGTTCAAGATCCAGGATATTCAGAATCAAGATTATTGAAAGGTCAGTACCTGCATTCCCACGCCAGTAACATTTCAAGAGCTCTTCAACACGCTGAGGCACCACATACGCTCTTTTCGATTCGTTGAACGGGTGACGGCACAGCAAACGTTCACCGACCTTTCACCAGAACGAATTTAAATAAGGCGACATACCGTTAATTTTTGGAATCTAAACTCGAAAAAGGTCGATCCTTTCTCTACCTTTGGAGGCGGTTCATTCTCTCCAGTCATTATGTCCACCAGTGGGTAACCCTCTTTGCCGTATAATCTGTAACATCTTTTTTTACATGGTATAGACACCTACCATTACAACAGTGACAGAAAAAAAAAGTGAAAAGGTTAACTATCATATCATTGAAAGACAGGTTTTTTACTGAACTTTCTTTCGGGTGGGCAAGAGTGAAAAACCTTTGTAACGTCCTCGGAAAGTTTGATACGAGGTTGATTGTTTATCTCCACAAGCTTGAAGACACAACCTAATGCGGCTTGTGAATAGCAAGTTACTAAGTAGGTCCCGATACCAAAGGCATCCACCTCATGTCCCTTGCGAGAAAAGATTAATGTTTTTTCAGACTATGGAGCCAAAAGGTCGAAACTTCAAGATATCACTCATGTGGTGGCAGATTTATAATGTAAGAGCATAGATACCTGTTTGTTTAACGCATCGATCGTCTCTTCGTTCAGATCGTTACTAGCGGTAATGCCCATCTTCCCAAAATCCGGCACCTTAAATTCTCTCTCTATAATGTGAAAGAAGTTCCTGACTTCGGTAGATAGATATGCCAAGTCGCCCGAATCCAGTCTAATGCCTAATGCCTTGTATCTGCACAACAAAATCGATGTCAAGAAAAGTAAAGATGTATATTTACCAACATAGCAAGGAATGGTCTGACCACAGAATCCAAGTAACTATAATATGCAGAAATCACCAACAGTTGAACCGATTCATAGCATTATTGTAATAATATTTTGCAATGTGGTCGAAGATGCAAAATCTGAACAGGAAATGTCACGACAGGGAAAAGATCAAGAACGAGTGAAAGATTCTTACACACCCCAAGTCATTCAGTGCTAGAGCAACTGCACAGAAGTTAGGAATTCCACTCTTCATCACCTGTAAGACAGGTGGTAAAAATGATTCTTTTTACAGTGACGGTAGCTCATAAACAGAATTCACTTGCACCGTAAATTGTTTTTTCACTCACGTCGTACGTGTCTACGAGGGCAAGAAAGGCCTTGGGGAACGCCAGTGCGTACGAAGTGAATGCCGCCAGCTCACTTTGATTCGTCTCAGAAAAAATGCCTCGTAAAGAGGGCGAATACTGTCATTTCCACACAAATCAAATGATGTCAATAAGGAAAAAATGGAAGGAAAAAAAGAAAATAAGTTTCTCAAGAGAAAAGTCTTTTCTCAAATTGAACTTGAGAGAGGGACAGAACATGATATCACTAGCAAACCTGAATTTTAGTTAGCCATGTCTGAACCAGAGCAACGAAATCTTCACACGTGCTTTTTCCGTCTGAACTGTGAAGTGCTTTGTCAACAATCTCATCGAGGCTCTGGAAACAAAAGTAATGAGAATACATAATAACTCTTAAGTTAATGAACATCAATGATACCAATTGGATTCCAGACAAAGCAAACCCGAGGGAAACAATTGAAATCTATACCGCTACTAGTAAAGTCAATAATAACCATGAAATCAAGTGAATCAGACAATGTAAAGATCAAAGACAGAATCAGCATGTGACGCAGTTTAACACATCACCTCTGAGGGACTCCTGACATGGTAAGGGATTTTTTTTAAAAAAAGACAGAGAAATCCATGTTCTAATGCATCTTCAACGTTTAAATTTTACAAGTTTACAACTGTACACTATGTATTAGAATGAGTTTATCATATTAATAAAGAAAATTTCTAACAATAAGGTTCGTATATAGAATACGTTTTATGAGATTTTGGGCAACTGACCATGAATGAGCTCACAAAAGCATGGGAGTGTGTTCCACGGATAGGTATCCCAAACAGCCTTCCGGCGGCAACATTGCTGTCATAGTAAACGCCGAGGGGAGGAAAAACAAATTAAAAACACAAATTATTTCACCCTTGACTTCAGAATTTGCAGAATGTGCAGAGACAGCAAAAAACAAAACCGATGTTAGATTTACCTTGTTGCATCAAACCCTCCCATGTAGCAGTACTTTGACGCACTTATAGCACCATCAGGTCCCTTTACAAAATCAGAAGCAGCCAAAAAACCAGAGATGTAAGATGAAATGCAGCATCAGGGCAACAGGAAAGAGGCAGATTGTGAAAACCTGAGCCCTTCGAGCACCAAACTCGAGCAGAATTTTGGATTTTCCAGCAACAAATCGATGTCTTGCTGCATTTGTAGCCACCAAGGATGCATAATTGACAAGGTTCAGGAATGGAGTTTCCAACAGTTGGACAACCTAAGAACATGAAGAACAAGAACCAGCAAAAATGTCGGCTCATTACCACAAGAACTACACTCATAAACAACAACAACAACCCGACAAATATCTCAGAAGATGAAATGAGTAAAAGCAAGAGGGTGGAGATACTCACACCTACTGGACCTTCTACTCTCATCAGAGGCACCTTTGGGAAAACAGCCGATCCTTCCGAAATGGCATACACTTCGACGTCAGAACAATCAATTCCTCGAAGATAATCGCAGAAAGCTTCCTAATTTCGAATTCCAAGAGAAAGAGTGGGAAACCCAGATGAAAATCAAATCGGTAAACTACGCTAATCGGGCAGGAAATGGGGTAGATTCTAACCTCGCAACCAGGCAACGAATCACGGACGAAAACAATCTCTTCCTCGGTCAATTTGAAATTCGCGAGGAACTTGATGCATTCTTCCAAGCCGGCAAACACGGTGTATTCACCGCCGAAAGGGTTCTTACGGAAATACAAATCAAACCTGTGGAAGAACCAAATTAAACGAAACCCAGTCATGAAAAATATATATCTATCTCTCTCTCGTCGAATCAGAACCAGGAGACGACACTAACACGGATCGCTCGTCGTGCTTTCCGGCTTTCCAGTAAGCGTAAGCCATGGTGAACTGGTAGAGATCGTTGAGCAGAGGAGTCACCATCGGGTTCGTGGGTCCGTCCACGACCCGACCCGATTGCTTCATCTCCGGACCATTCTCTCTCCGCTCCATAATCGGATCCTCCGTCTCCGCCTAGAAAACGCGATTCAAATACGCCGACGCTAGGGCTTCAATCGAATGTGTTAACAAGTGGATCACGTCTCTGCGTATAACGATAAATATATGTGTATCTCTGTGTAAGTATAGGTCCGTGGCTGTGTACGAGGGATGCAATTTAGGGGAGAGTGTCCGAGTTTTTTTTTTCTTTGGCTAAGAACAAAAAAAAAACGAGCGTGAGAGACACGACAGCCACAGAAAGGAAAACAGCTTTCGAACACCTTCCGCCTCACCAATTTCCTCGGTTTTTTTAATTAAAATAAAAAAAATAAAAGGGCTGATGTCATTGTTTAAAATTTGTTTTTTTTCTGGTCATTTATTTATTTTATATGTAGTTTTAAAAAAAATAAGGAGAACAATTACGATCTTGAACGACCAGACATTTGTTGAGTTGACCAAAACGACACAATCTAAGTTGCTTTATCAAAAGTACAAATCACCATGATGTGATTGACATTCGTATCAATGTACGGTCCGTTCGAATGGAACGCATGCATCATCAAGAAATCTGAAACTTACTTGAAACTCGAGAACCAGCTGATGAACGGGTAGATTCACAACGACTATATACACATATATATATATACACCCATCAGCTAACGAAGTGCGATAATGGATAAAGGACCAGTCTTTCAACTGTTAGACCACAAGACCAGTCTAGACGCTAGAGTGAGCTTGTTATCCAACCAAATACATAAGAGAACCCTAATGACAGTTATGTGTATTCTTGAAGTCGGTTGCTTTTCTTGCACCCTAAGAAAAGATAACCCTAATGGAGATCACATATAGAAGCAAAGCTTTAGAATCCTGGTGCGGAATGCTGTGACAAAGTTGGTGTCTTTGTCAAGTGAGATTGTCTTTTAGGTCAGCCTCTTCTCCTTCAAAACATGAATTCGATCGAGCCGTTAGTGTCCACAAATGTGTAAAAATTTTGATTAGAAACCGGAAAATGAGAGGCATACCAAGCGAGTTTGTCTTCGGATGAGTAGCATCGTTGAGCCCGTGATGCGTTATCGAGTATTCTTTACTCTTCTTCTTTGACAGGTCAAAATCAAAATCTCGAAGATTCACGTTAATGGCGTTAAAAAGAATGTTGTTATATGTAATGATAATCAATGAAAAGTGTAGGAAAAGGGCGTCCATACCACAAGTGAATCAAGGACAGGACAGACCTCTAAGTGACATCGAACAGATGGGTCCAATCCATATGATGCTCCTAAGTTAACTATTTAATTTTCATTCGAAATCGAAGCAAATTGATCGGTGGTCAGAGGTCGGATCTCAGGCAGATACAATGGTCCACTCGTTAAGCACATCGGATGCAAGCTTAGTCTGTTCCTCATTGTCAGCATCTACAAGCAAATGATAGAAGTAAATATATATACACACACATATATTTATGTATGTATGTATGTATGTATGTATGTTATGGTTTTGAAGATACTGACTTGGACTTGAAGCTGTTGCAGGTACTCTATGGCTTCATCGAGCATGGAAGCCTTATCCGTCTTAAACCCATCCACCAAAACGATTTCAAGAAAAAAGACAATGATTTCAAGATCTTTATAAGAATGTTACAGATAAATCTAGACACGTTTCCCTATGTATATCTGTAGATATAACTATACACACATATATATATATATATATATATATATATATATATGCACCTTGTTCGAGTTTGGGATCAGGTTTTGCAAAGCCTTCATTTTCTCATTGATCCTACTCCTCCTCCTCTGTTAAAGAAATGAAAGCAAATATGAAACTGATAAGTGAGAGTTTATAAATCTGAAAATGTAACATTTTGGTTGTAAAAAGAGGAAATTTCTTTTATAAAAAAAAAGGAAATTTCTAACCTTTTCAGACAAGTTGTGAATTTCAGCAGCTCTGCTTCTCTTACAAGAACTACGCGGTGGAGCTGGCTTCGCCGGAAGTTCATCCACCACTACCTCCATCCCCTCCTGCTTCAGACAATCAAATTTTCCGACTGTAACTTAATTTTCTTCATTATGTCAAAAAACCCATCAGCAGAAATGACAGTATACGCATCGATTTTGAGGAATTGTAGCATTTTTTATTAGCGCAGATCCGTTACAGCACCCGATGACATTTTCTCGGGAAACAATACAAGGGATAGAGCATGCAAAATATCGGGAATTTTCGAAGAAAGTACCTTGCTTTCGCAGTCGTAATCGTCAGTCTCATTCCCACTCGTTCCGACGGAGGAAGACGACCTTCGGATCGCCGCCGCATCAACGAAGAATCTTACCCCGGAGGATCGAAAACTCGTGGCGGAGCCGGAGCGATCACCGTCAGATAAATCAATGGCGGAGATCGCGCGCTTCGCGAGCACATCCGACGGCGGTGAAGCGGAGGGTCGTGGCTCCGGTGCATGCGAGCAGTCTTCGTATGTCGCCGGAGAATACGACGGCCGCGGCGAGGAGCGTCGGACGAGAATCTGCCGGAGAAACTGCGTGATTTCGTCGGAAGGATCGCGAGTGTCGTAAACAGAGGAGCTAGAAGACGAAGAAATCATGTTCTTATCTCCCATTTCTCTCTCTCTCTCTGAATCATTATGGAGCAGTTAAAGCAGAGTAAGCGGAATTATATGGCATGGAAGAGCTGGAGCGTGAGTGCACGCGCCATGGTGGAGAGAAACGGTGGGGAAAATTTTTTCAGCGGTTAAAATGATTGGTTTGTGAAGATAGAAAGTGACAGTCTACGTCACTGTAACAAAAGTCTTTGACCTTTTTTTTTCTCTTTATTTTTTTGTTTCGTGTGTCAGGTCACAGCGCCAATGCAAAGGGTTCTCTATCGCACGTGAGAGTCACTAAACTTAGTATTTTCAGTATTTTTCTTAATATTATTTAAATTAAAGTTTTTTTTATTTTTTTATTTTTTAATAATTCAGAAGTCACCAAACTTTGAAGTTAATTATATATTTCAGAAGATCGAAAAAATTGAGATAAAAACTCGAAGATATATTGAAAAATAATTTTGTTCTTTTTTTTGTCAAAAGATCTGTATTCTATTCTTTTAAATCGCTACAAAACTGTCCAAAAGTTTACAAAATGTGAGCTGAATAGTTACCATAACCAACAAAGTCATTGAGACTGTAGACATAGTAACAAGTAAAGTAGTAAATTAGAGATCTCTATGAAACAGAGAAAGAGATCAGCATCAAAAAATGTTTCATGCATGTGTTGTATTCATCGGAACCAATGGAGGAATAGCCCGAATGTAAGTTTCAGTTTGGTTACTCGAATGACAACTCCTATTCGACGCAAGGTTTTGTCGAATTGTTTGAAAGAAGTATCCACATCAGAGTAGATAGACTGGTATAGTCTAGTGTTCCTCTATCTCCATATGTGATTAGTAATAGTTTGTCAAACTATTAGTCCAATAGTTTTGGAGTTCCGAGTTCCGGGGAATCGTTTGAGCCACACCATAATGTTATCCCATGTATGAGACGCATTTCAGAGATTGAATTTGAGGCATACCTTTTCCCATAGGAACTGAGAGTAGTTGCAGTAGAAGAATAGGTGGTCGCGCGTTTCCAACTCAACATTGCATAAACAACATATTGGCGAGATGTTCGTACCCCAAGAGAGGAGTCTATCCTTTGTGAGATTTTTATTCAATACGAAGGCTCGAGTAGTGAAAGCGTACTTCGGGATATAACCTTTGAACCATACCAGAGAATGCCATTCAATATGGACAGGGGGTCCCAGCATGCAATTCACACCGTGGATGACTAAAATCTGTTCGTTTTTGTATCATCTACACCCCATAGAGGACGGTTTGTAGACCCGAGTTAAGTTGTATTTCTGACAAGAGAGAGATCAGATTAAGATGCATTTGAGATCTAGAGTTCAGTAATAGTCATCTATTCCCGTCGTAGACTGAGGATACTAAAGTCGTTTTAGGCACACCCAACTCCATCAGATTTGTTTTATCCAAAGCGTCAATCAGTCTTCCCAATGGTAACCATGCATCCAACCAAAAGAAAGTATCTATGTATTCCATATCCTATTTCTCTCTTAGCAAAAATCGTAGCTTGAGTTCTAAGTTTAAAAAAACACTTAAAACTCTATGAGTACCTGGACAAGAGATTAATGATCCAAAAACTTCTTCGATATAATGATACTTGATCCAGGTTATCCATAAGGATCCCGCTTTCGACACTAGGATTCATATCAATTTTAAACCAGTCACCAAGTTGGATTCGATCAAGTTTCGCAAACCCAAACCTCCCTTGCATTTCGGTTTAGTGACTGTAGACCAAGCCACTTTAGCAATTCAATCTTGGGTTATTTAAAATTAAGGTTTGTATATTACACAAAATGAATAGTAAAAATAAAGATATTAGGGACCATAATTAGTAGCTGATGTAATGAAAATAACAAAAAGTCGGATTGGTTCGCCACTTGTACGTATTTTATGGTTGCATTGCATGTACGTTATCGCATGGAACGGCAAACCAAAATCTGATATATATATATATATATATATATTTATATATATATATATATATATATATAATGTTCGAACGGTTATAATTTCGTTGAGATAGCCTAAGAAAATTATTCATATGTAAATGTATTTTGATAACATTGAAAAATGAGAACAAAACTATAAAGAAAACCGCATTTTTTTAAGAATAATCGGGAGAGTTGCATTAATATCTCCGAATATGCCATGAATGGGTTGCTGCAATCTGTAACATTTTTAAATTAATCTTCTAACCAGATCTAATTAAGATTATTTCGTGATTTCGGAAGATCTTGGTGTCCGTCCATGATGTTAGATTTTTCATCATCGCATAAAATATTGTCATTTTTATGTACAAAGTCATTAAAATAATGATTTAAAAAAAAATTGGAAACTACCGACCACGTTCAATGTCAATATAAAAGAAAATCGGTGCCAGGAAAAAAATCTATAAAACAATAATAAGCATATGTGTTTACAAAATGTGGGATCATTCGGGGTCGTAATATTAGGTCATTATTCTCAAAGTCTTGAAAAATATGTTTTACAAAAACAAAAAAACATTTTCCGTAGAGTTTTTATTTTTTTTACAGGAACAGTTTTATTTTACAGTAATTATTATTATCAATGGTGGGTTCGCTTTGAATCTGACCGATCATCATCAGTTGTACGGTCCGAAAAGGGTTACAGAGAACCAAATAAATAAATGATACAAAGGATTATGGAATTGTGAAAAAGCCTGTCGCATTTTTTCAGTGCTCTTTTAATATTTTCCAAAAAGACCACAAGTAACGAGAAAGTGTCATGCTCTTATGGCACATTTCTCTTGAGAAAATTTGATCAATTAATTGAAAATCTATAATTTTTTGGGAAAATGACATTTTCCTACACTAATTTAGTAAAATGTGACATTTTTTTACACGAATTTTTAATTTGACAAAAACATACGCTATATTATCAAATATCCCAAATCTATACACGAATTACCCAATTTTACTACAATTTACTACACAATTCGAAACGGTGTTAAAATATCCGTTAATTGATAACGTGGAAGGCCACGTGGCGGCTGACGTGGAAGGCCATGTGAAAAAATTTGTCACGTCAGCACGGCACATCAGATTTTAAAAAAAATAAAAAAAATAAAAAATTAAAAAAAGAAAAGAAAAAAAATACATATATACATATACATACATACAAATATATTTATATATACACACATACATATATATAAATACATATACATGTATATATATATAAACATATACAATACATATATATATATATGCATACAAAATAAAAAAATACATATATACATACATTTATATATATATATGCATATATATTCATATCTATATTTGTATGTACATATATGTATATATATGTATTTTTTATTTTTTTTATGTATATATAAATATATAATTGTATATCAAATTAAAAATTTATGTATATATAAATATATCTGTACGTATGTATATATATATATATATTTGTATAGATGCATGTATATATATGTGTATATTTTTTATTTTGTATGTATATATAGATATATTAATACATAGGAGTATATATGTTTATATTTGTATTTATATATAGATATGAATATATATACATATACACGTATAGATATATGTATGTACATGTATTTTTTTATATTTTATATGTATACATACATATATGTATGTATGTATATATATGTATATATACAATATATATATATATATATATATATGTATTGCATATGTTTATATATATACATGTATATATGTATATGTATTTATATATGTTTGTATGTATATATATATGTATATATATATATATATATATATATATTTTATTTTATTTTATTTATTTTATTTTATTTATTTTTATTTTTTTTAATTTTTTTAATTTTTTTAATTTTTTTAATTTTTTTAATTTTTTTAATTTTTTTAAATTTTTAAATTTTTAAAAAAATTTTAATTTTTTTTTGAAAATCTGACGTGGCGTGCTGATATGTCAAAATTTTCCACATGGCCTTCCAGTCAACCGCCACGTGGCCTTCCACGTCATCAATTAACGGACATTTTAACACCGTTTCGGATTGTGTAGTAAATTGCAGTAAAATTGGATAATTCGTATATAGATTTGGGATATCTGATAATATAGTGTAGGTTTTTGTCAAATTAAAAATTCGTGTAGGAAAAGGTCACATTTTACTAAATTGGTGTAGGAAAATGCCATTTTCTCTAATTTTTTTTACAAATTATATATTTATATAAAATTTTGACAAAAATATCTTTATTTTATTTTCTAATTTCAATATGATCACTTGGCGTCCCAAAAAGGTGCAACATAAAAACAAAAGTTTTTGGAATCTACATTATCTAGAAAAATTGTTTTTTCATTAGGAACAACTGTTTTTAATTTACGCGGAAACCTGTTTGTATCTCGGAGATCTTGTTTTCATGTGAGAAAATTCTTTTTCACCAGAATAACTGTTTTTTGTTCGGAAGAATCTGTTTTTATCCAGAAGATCTGTTTTTTATTCGGGATAATCTGTTTTCATCCGATAAACTCTTCAAAACTAAATTGTTTCATATGGGAGAAATTATTTTCGTTCGAAATTTTTTTAAAAATGAAGTTGTTTCGTAAAAAAATGCATATTTCGATTTGAAATCTTTTCGAAGAAAAAAAATATATTTTGTAAATTTTCAAAGTAGAGAAGGGTATTCTTGGTATTAATTACAAAAAGTTAACAGTTTACAAATTTAAAAAAAAAAATGGTACTCTTTTCAATAACTGACGTTTTTGTCATAGTTTTCCAATTATCTCTCTCTCTATGAACACACACACACGTATGTATATATATATATATAGCGGTGGATCTATACGTAAGTATATAGGGGGCATAACTCCATTCAATCAATAAATTATTTTTATTTTTTATATAAATTATGTAAAATTTTGAATAAAATTATACAATGCAAAGGGTTAAACAAAAACCCCTTGATGTAATTATTATTATTATTAATGTTATTTAAAAATGGTTTTTTCATATATTACCTACCATGAATGTTATGATTATTGTACCGAGATTAATTAACAATCATGTCGAGTGAACTCTATCGCAGTGGTTAAGACAAAACCATTCATAGAAAGAGTATATGCAAATGAAAATTTTAAAAGATAAACTTTCCTCATCACCCAAAAAAAACAGATAAAACTTTCCATAAACCAAAAAAATGTTTTTATATATTAAAGTTAAGCAAATGCTAAAACGGCAGAAAAACTGACAACTGTTTTCTTAAACTTTAATCTTTTTCGAAGTAATTAATAATTAGTAACTTTAATTTATTACAGCGGGGAAAAAGTCTCCCTCATTTGGTCGTGTGGAGGTCCACAAGATCGGACGGTCAGAGATGCAAGCGGATCGGGAAATCGAAGGGTCTAGAGATGCGCGCAGGGCAGGGGGACTTGATCCGACGGTGGGGAATTAACGAGACAGTGCTGAAGAAAAGAGCCTTTTATTTTAATGAAGCCGTGTGATTTTGATCTGGTGGGACAACGTCCTTTGGAGTATTGTGTTCCCTCTCCTTTCCGACTCACCTCTTTCCCACGCGCTCTCCGAGAGCGTGTCCTACACGCGAGTTTACCTCGTGTGGATAATATGACGACGTTTAAACAGAAAGCGACCAAATGATTTCAATATGGATAAAATTAAAGATGAAGTTGAAATTCAACGAATCAAATTCGATGTTCTTATTTCATGGAAACTTACAATTTTTTACGAATTGGGAAACGTGAATCCAGAAAATTCCCTTAACAAAAGAACAAATAAGTTTCTCCGGCGACGGTACCGGAAAATCTCACGGCGGCGAGAAACCGGCGGTTTCTGGAACGAGAAAGGGACCCGTTAACGTTGCTGGGCTTGAACTATTTGTTCATTCCGTGGGCTCTGAATCCGTAATTTATGGGCTTTGACTCGGGGAGTTTCTGGAATTCTTATTGGGCCTCACTGGAGTGGGCCTAACTGGGTTGATCGGCCTAAAGTCATAAACCACAGTAAAAGACGATACGAATTCAAAGAACGTTAATAGGATTTAAACGAGTGAGCGTTTTTTTATATAAGCATTTTATTTCTTTTTTTTAGTTCAAATGTCAAATTTGCATCATTGGAACGACTAAAATGAATGGAAACCATATGATATGCGAAGTTGGTTGACACGTTTTTATCAATATATGTATTGATAATTTTTGTTTACTTCATTTAAAAACGGACCAAAATATCACAAAGTGGTCTGTCTCGTTGGTTGTTCCTTGATGTTACTTATCATTTGTCGATGTTTCCTTCCATAGATTTATCAAAAATACAGTGATCTATATATATATATATATACGAGTTTGTGAGAAACAATATATACAGTTATATATTTAGGGTAACGAAATACAACGTGTACATATGTATATTTTGGCAAATGAAGAAATTCCCGTGTTTAATCTTCGCTTAATATCGATTTCTAGAACAAGTTTTGTACGGATTAATTGGAATTATACTGCCGGTGTATAATATTAGTTGTACACGCAAGCAAATAAGGTGATATTTTCTATATGGTTTCTAATGTAGAAATAAAGTTTAGTTAACGTGATAAAGAAGGAGATTGAATGCATGAAATTAGGTAAGAGTCGGCATTTTTCTTCCCTAATTTGGGCGGTTCCCATGCATATTACGACGCGTTTAAATGGACCACGCAATTTCCTACTCTCATGAAATTTGGCAAATGAAGCAAAGAAAAAGGAAACAAATTTTAAGTTTCCATATTTAGAAACTCGTGGGAGGCTTTGCTCTTTAGAATGGCTGAATGATGTCTTTCCTTAGAGATTGTAAATTTGCTTTTTTGATTCATAATAATAGTGATCGACCAACCGATTTTTGAAAACGGGATAATTTCGTCCGTAAACGCGTACGAATTCTATCTAAGCTTCATTTGATCGTTAAATTGAGCTCTTTCTTGTTGCATCGAATGTATCGAAATCTTTGAAAAGGGTTATATAAACTGTATATATATATATGTATAAGTAATTAGTTGGATATAGTGAATAGGGCACTTAATGTCGATGGCAGAAATCCGATACACTTACCATAAATAGGAAGTGTGTTGAAAGCGATGGGACAAAACGAAGTCAATAAGGCAAGGAGGCTGTAGGGTGAAGGACAACAAAGGGAAAGCCGATGTTAATCAAATTATCTTCAGCCAACAACCATCTCTCTCTCTCTCTCTCTCCACTTGTTATACGGTTTGTCTTAATTTGTATAATTTCTTTTGCAAGAATAACGACGAATATATATATATATATATATATATATATATATATGAGAAAAATATATTTGATATATATACATATTCCTTGTACATGAATGATCCATGAAAAAATAAAAAGAAAAAAAGAGAGAATTTCACAATCTCGTGATAACATTGGATGGGATCTATCGTCTACTGTCTCTGCAAGAGTAGACAGTGTTTCGTAGATACGATGCAAAGGGAGAGATATTAAGTAATTCAAATAAATAATTTTATTATTTGTTTTTTGGAAATTGCTGGCTGCTGACTGAATAAGAGCTGTCCCTCGTTTCAGAGTCTTAAACGCTTCCTTTGTGCATGAGGGACGGCTATGGATCCACCCTTTACCATTTGCTTTTTCATTAATTTCAAAAGATTAATTTAAAATAATTAATCTATAGACTGTAAATAAACCCTAAAACTACATATTGAGTAGCCATCATAATGCTTTATTAAAATAATAATAATAATGTTTTTGGTTTTCAAGATCATCTCCCCCTTGGTTTACGTGCATTGTTGAAATCATAGTAACGATGGAAATGAGATTTTTATTATAAAAAAAATGACATCTCGGTTAGAGATTCTAGGCGCTGCAGCTGTTTCCTAGGTGACTCAGAGGCATAAAAGCATGTCCACAAATTTATATTAATTAAATTTTGAAAATTATTATAATATGTATGGGTATATATATAATATTGAAGCACTAAGAACGATAACGAAGGTACTTAGCAAGTTTAGTACGATTAATTCTCGTGGCACCACAAATCTTGCCACTTATAGAATCATTTCAATTTAAATACTGCCCCTCATGCCCATATGATATTTTCCCCGTGACGACATCAATGACGAAATTGGCTCTCTTAATCTATTCATAAATTTGTCCTCATACCTCAAACTTTGTATTATATTAATATGAACAGACAATGACTGAAAATGATATCAAATACTTATTAAACTATTATAAAGTTGCGGAATTCCCAATGATTCACCTTGCTGGTCCAACGAACCGTTTCCTCGTACACTAATCTCAACTTGCCCTAAACCCTAGACATATATATATATACACACACACACATGTGCAAACACACACTCGTGTGTGTATATATACACATAAAATATGAAGTTTTACACCCATATTCGTATATATAGTTAATCTTTGACTAGGGGACAGTCCATGTAACCAGATTAATGAAAGTTGAATTTAAATTTGATATAATAAAAAAGAATAAAATAAACAGGAGAAAGGGTAAAATCTAGGATAAAGGATCTAACGACGGACAGTAAAAAACAGATATTGAGAGAGAGAGAGAGAGAGAGAGAGAGAGAGAGAGAGAGAGAGAGAGAGAGAGAGAGAGAGAGAGAGAGAGAGAGAGCGGTCTCACTCGCGATATA